CACTTGTTGGGAAAAATAACATCCATACGTAGAACCCACACACAAAATAGCAAGCTCAAATCAAGAATAAGAACATAAATATATTTGGTTCGACCCAATTCAAAATGGTCTACTCCAAACCTAATTCACTAACAAATAAATCTTTACAACTGTGAGACTTTTAGAATGAGAAAAGTCTCACAAAACTCCTTACTCAAAACTTAACCCAAAATCTAATTACACCATTTAATAACCTACTCACTTAGCTATTCTCTTGGTGTCTACTCTCTAGGATTATCAAACTAAAAATAAAATACCTTATTTATAAGGGTGAAATCGTTTATACTTTTACTAAACTCCTAATGTAGGATACTGAACAAATTCAAAACTCACTAACTTTTGATGTTAGATTATGAGATTCAAGGCAAATCCCAACATCTATTACCTCCAAATTTGTTATCTGCAAAGATAAAATTTTTTTAGAAAATAAGGTGATGAAAAATGAAAGCACTTCAACAGGGATTACATCAATTCAGGTAAAAATGCTCTAAACTAAAAAGATTCAAACTTTTATAAAGCTATACCAAACCCTGAAGCATAAAAACAAGTCGATATTCATCATTAATTCTAAGAGAAGACATTTAACTTGGCACAAAAATACATTATTGAGAGTAATATTACATACTATCTTCTAACAAAGGATAAAGAGCCATCAACTTTCCAAAAGATTACCAAAAGCCTAGATGTGTCCTTGTGGATGAAAATAATGGAAAAGGAAATTAAAGCCCTATAAAAAAAATGACATAGGATCTTGTTCTACTACCATAAGAAAAGAAGGCCACTGGAAACAACTAAATTTATATGTTCACGTTTGTAGGAGGAACTATAAATTGGGTTTCAAAATTTCAAACTATTTAACATTATCTACAATAAAAGCTGAATGAACAGATAATAGTTGTAGTGCCATGTTCAAAAGTTATATAAAAAATTGTGTTTACAACAAGATAACTTGCTTTTATTTTATATCTTACATCTATTTTTACAAATTCAACTTTTAAATATCTATAAATAAAAATTTTGAAATTTCATCATCATGGTTTACTAAACTTGTTAATCTAATCCTTCCATCCCAAAATATTTGTCATGTATTAACTTTCTTGGAGTTTAAGAAAAAAGTTTTAACTTAAGAAAAAAATTTTGACTTTAACATATTTAATATTAAATTTTAATATTTTTCTATAAAATTAAAGTTCCATAATTTTTAACATCAAAAGTAAAAAAAAAAATCCTAAAAAATAATTTTAAAATATATAAAAAAATTTTTAGATATTCGAAAGTGGAATAAAACATAATTTTGGGATATCCAAAAAACAAAAAGTTAGACAAAGAAAATATGATAAAGAGAGTATAATATATTAGTACATATCCTAGTTGACAACTCTCGACGTTGACCCATACTATGTGTATTATTAATTTTAATTTTTAATTAAAATCATAATATATACCAAAACTAGATATCTTTTTTATATATTTTAAATCATTTTAAATTTAATAATTAAAATTAAAATTTTAATAATTTAATATACTCTTTGAACATTTTTACAAGCTTTTGCGCGCCCACACTTTTATTTTATAAAAATTGTTATTCATCTGTAAATTATGAAAGGTCAACAAAAATTTTAATCAACATCTCAAATCATGTTGGCCTCAAAAATTAAAGATATTAAAATTTATTCTTTAATAAGCAGTCCATAATGGCAACAAGTAAAAATTGACATTACCACTTAATAGATAGGATCAAGAATTTAAAGTTGAAAATTGTTGGAAAATCAATACTCGCACGCAGCACCGACACACACAAATAATAGAGTAAGTCCAAAATAAGAATAAGAACATACAAATATTTTGTTTCAATCAAACCCAAAATAGTCTACTTTAAACCCAATCCACTAACAAATAAATCTTTATAACTGTAAAACTTTTAGAATGAGAAAAGTTACCAAAAACTCGTTACTCAAAATTTAACCCAAAAATCAATAACATCATTTTAATAGCCTACCAACTTAATTATTCTCTTGGTGTCTAATTATCTGGGAATACCAAACTAAAACCAAAGCATTTTATTTATAACGGTAAAACTTCTTACAACTTTACTAAACTCTTGATGTAGGATACAAAATAAACTCTTAACTCTTATAACTTTATTTAACTTTCAATATTGGATTAAAAGATTCAAGATAAATCTCAACAAATCTTCTATTGACTTAAATCTACAAAGCTAACATGCTTGCTTTTTTTTTTTTTCTTTTGTCACATGAATCCCAACAATTGAGCCTCCATCAAGTATGTACAAGTAATTTTTAACCATATTCCCTTGTGAAATCACACTAACATTCTTGTACGCTTTCAACCAATCATTCTACCATAGTATATGTACCATCGAGAAGTAAACTCACCCAAAATAATCAAATTGTAGCTATAATTCGATACTTACCTTATATGACAAAGTGTCGTAATAATATCATTGTGAGATCTAAGAGAAACATTTACATGACAAAGTGTCTTAATAATACCATTGTGAGATCTAAGGCAAACATTTTCAATGCCTTGAATCTGTATATTTTCATTATTGGCAACCACAATATCCTTATACTTCTCATTCTCTTCCAACTTCACAAAGTAACTCTTATCATTACAGACATGGACTGCAGCAGTTGAATCTAAAATGTAACCTTAATCACTTTTCAAAGTTTAAGACTCAGTCACATAAGTCGTTAAAATGACTTCATCATCATCGGACACAATGGCAGTAATATCACACTTTTCTTCATCTAATTTTTCTCATAATTTATCCTTTTGAAAGCAGTTATATCCTTTCTTAGCTTTTTTAAATGCATTTGGATATGTCGATTTTCACTACAATAATAACATTCTTTGTCACTATAATCTTTGTCTCTTGACTTGAATCTTTCTTTTAATCCATTAACCCTCTTTTGAGTCTTCATTCGATTAGAATCTTCTACAACTAGCGCACTCTCTCCAGGTGATGAGTTTTATGTTCCTATAAATCTTTCATTTTCACGTAATAAGACAGTCATATCATCTAACTTCAAAATAGACTTATCCATCAACAAAGTCTGAATTAAAAGTCTATAAGACTTGGGAAAAGATGACAATAAAATTAAAGCTTTCTCCTCATATTCTAACTCATCAATAAAAATTACCAATCATTGAAAAACTAACATATTAAACTCATTCAGGTGATTGTAAATACTCGTACCTTTTTTAATTTTCAAAAAATATAGATCCATCTTCAAACATAATATGTTAGTCAACAACTTCAAAGCATAAATATCATCAAGCTTATCCTACAAATTTTTTGGAGTACTCTCAGTTAAAATACTACTAGTTCTAATTTAATAGTACTAGCAGCTTTCTTCTGAATTATATTTCTATTACTGTCAGACATTCTATCAAGCTTACTACTCTCTAATACCTCATTCAATCATATTTTACCATAACATAAAATTACTCTTACCATCAAATAAAGTAATCTCAAACTTGGGTGTAAGCATACTAGACCTATCGTTTTTAGACATTTTGAAATACTTACTTCACGATCTCTCAGTCCTGCCTTTTCTTTTCGAACATCCCAAACCTTGAATCTCGTTTTAATACCACTTATTGAGAAATCAAAATACATACGCAACACCGACATACATAAATAATAGAGCAAGCCCAAAATAAGAATAAGAACACACAAATATATTTGTTGTGTTCTTATTCTTGTTTTGTTTCAACCCAAAATGATCTACTTTAAACCTAATCTATAACAAATAAATCATTACAACTGTGAGATTTTTAGAATGAAAAAAGTTACAAAAAACTCTTTAATCAAAACTTAATCCAAAATCCAATAATACCATTTTAATAATCTACTCACTTAGCTATTCTCTTAGTGTCTAACTATCTGAGAATACCAAATAAAATCAAAGTATCTTATTTATAAGGGTGAAACCTTTTATAACTTTATTAAATTTTTGATATGGGATATAAGATAAACTCTCAACTCTTATAACTTTACTTAACTTTTAACATAAAATTAAAAGATTCAAGATAAATCTTAACAAAAACCTTATAAAAGTGATCAAGTAAATGATCTCTAAAGCCTCTACGCAGGTGACAATACGTGAAGCAACTTTCTCCTATTTCATATATAATATTATATATACATATATATATATATCATTGTGGCTATCAAAAATTTAATTTTAGAGCTTCCAATGCTTGGTGTTATTTTGGAGACATTAATAATGAAATATTTAATATTAGAAATGAAAATTATTATCTTTTTATTTTTATTTTATAAAAAAACTTTTACATATGCACCAATCAGTCAAACACTAACAAATATTTCTATTTTTCAGGAAAAAAATAATTTAACTCACATTTTGTTAATCAGTTAACTTTTTTATTTTGATTTTTATTTAAAAATTACAAAGTAATTTTGCTAATTTAATATAAAAATAAAATTTACTATTATATAATAAATTAATAAATAAAATTTAATTATTTATTAATAAAATTATTATTTAATATAAAAATAATTTAATAACTTTTTAAATAATTTATTAATTTATTAATATTAAATAATTTAAATTTTATATTACATCTAATTTTTAATTTAATATTTTTAATTATTTTTTTAATTATAATTTATCTCAACATCATCATTAATTTTATATTTAAATATATATCTTATCATTCATTTTAATGTTATCATTATAATAATTAATTTTACTTCTATTATTTTAATCGTACGGTTAGTTCAAAGAGACCTTATACTATACGAATGTGGGTGCGCATTATTACGATATTTTTTTCTGATGGGTGGCTGATGTGATGTGTAGTCTATTTTCACTTTATTAATAAACTTCTTTTTACTCTCAATTTCGAATGCCCCTTACGTATGATTGCTTCCCTGACATAGACACCAGCCTATAAAAGGGCACCAGCCAATGCAAATGTAAAACGCATTGTGTTAAAACCTAAACCACTTGCTCTTTGAAAGCTAATTCTTGATATAATCAAGAGATATCTTGGTGCGAAACAATGGCTCTGACTGGTAAGCTTGAGATTGATGTAGAGATCAAGGCTCCTCCCGATAAGTTTCATGATATGTTCTGCAACAGACCGCACCATTCTCAACATGCTTGCAATGACAAGATAAAAGGATGTGATTTACATGACGGTGATTGGGGCACTGTCGGTTCCGTTATCTTCTGGAGTTATGTTCGTGGTAACATTACAAACCAAGAAAATCTTTCACGCTTTTTGCTTGATATCTTTTTCTTTTATGATTATATCTAATTATCTGCATTTCTTTTTCTTTTTGTGAACAATATTAGAGTATTCCAACCATAATAAAATTTCAATTGAAACAAAGCCAGTTCTTATACTTATTGGTCATTTCAGACGCTTGGACGTTTTGTTTTCTGAAGGATCGAGCCAGTAACTTTTGTTACGTTATGTTTATGTGTTCAGGATATTCGAAATTGATTTTTTTTTTGAATTAATGAAAAATTTTTTTGTTTGGATAATATATAGATGGAAAGGCTAAGACCTTAAAAGAAGTAGTGGAAGCAATAGACTCTGAGAAAAATTCCATCACCTTCAGAGTGCTTGAAGGAGATGTAATGAAGGATTTCAAGAGCTATGTAATCACAATTCAAGCTTCACCCAAGAGCGGGGGTGAGGGAAGTATAGTGCACTGGACGATGGAATATGAAAAGCAGCACGAAGGCATTGCTCATCCTGAGGATGCGCTCCAATTCGCAGTCGAAATCTCCAAAGACATCGACAGTCACCTCACCCAAGGGAATTAATAATCGATTATGAAATCCCATCCCTAGTCGTGTGCTACTACTACAACAAGCAGTATTAATCTAAAGAATAAAATTGCAGCTTGCCTTTGTGTTATAACTTGAAGAATATTTGTTTGTTTGGATCGATATGCTGTCAAGAGTGGAGCTTTTGTGTTTGTTGGTTTTATGTTTTAATTGAATGTATCTTGTGGTTCTATTTGCTTGATATAAATATAAATAAAATAAATGTGTATGGTTTCCTAATTTCTTTGTACTTTTTGTGCTGTTGTTGTTTTTCAGGGAGATAGTATATTTAGATGTGAGATTCAGCTCTCGTCCGTGTGAAAGAGAGCCGGTAACCATTTAAGTCGGTTTCAATAAATTTTCACCTTCTTTTTTGGACAACGAAAAATAGCAGCAACTTAGATTGGAATAGAGATCCTTGTGGGAACCCAAAACCAACAAAATAAAACAAATTGTGCAAAATAGCATCCACAGTGGACTGAATTCATAAAAACTGCCCTATGTCCCTAAGATCAACAAACCTGCTTTTACATTGGTAAAATTTAATGAAATTAAAGCACACTAACATAATTTAATATTAATTCATAATATATAGTGACTGATTTAAGTTTTTTTTTTTAAAGTATTTACTTATAATATATATAAAAAAATTTAATAAATTTATTGATTTTATTGATAAAAAAGTATTTAAAAGAAAATTTTAAAAGTGTTAGAAAGAGTTTTCTCAAAATTTTTTATTTTCCAATTTTTAAAAATTTTCATGAATATCCTAATCCGAAGCATGGATATGCTCATGCACGTTTAAACGCAAAGTTCTATTATATATAATATTTATATAGTTTATATTAATAGTGACACATCTTTTTTTTTAATGTCTTATGTCCAATTAACTAAAACATCAACCAGATCTAAAAATGAGTAAATTAATATAACATGACATCTCAACTAATTTCCTAATGGGGGACATGACGTCTTAATTAATATGCTAAGATCATTATTATCTAAACTAACTACTATAACCCCACCACCCTCTAATAATTTTCCAATCTAATCAACAATTCAATCAAAGTTTTGCATAATTTTCTCCCAATGTTGAAATAATTTCCCCGACCGATTACGACTAATCAAGAGCCATCAATTTCTTTACTTGACTTATTTGGTAATAAAAATGAAAATTTTGTTAATTAAAATTTACAATCACTTTCTTGTTTTATAATTTAATTATTATATTAATAAATTTTTATTTTCATCTTTTTCACTAAACAACACCAAAAAAATTACTACAGATGAATATAAGAAATTTTGAATAAAAAAAAGGGTAAATGAAGTACAAAATATTGACTATATGCAAGGCATTGGATTCTCGGTCGATCTCCTTATAGTTGCAAAAATTTTTTTACAATTTGTACTTTCATCAAATTGTAAAATTGTAAAATTTTACTTATTTTTTCTTTTAAAATAGTCGTTATTTTTCTTGAAAAAAAATTGTTTTTATAATTCTTGAAAAAGGAAAAAATGATGAAAATTTTATTTTAATGACTAGTGTATTACAATGAGACTTAAAATCTATTTATACAAAGGTAAAACATTATAAAACAAAAAATACAATTAATAAAAATAATGACTAAATCAATTCCTATAATCAACTAAATCAATATCTAATATTTTTTAAATTAATATCAAATCAATTTAGAATATTCCTGGAATATTATAAGAATATTATTGACACCCATCGCAAACTAAAGATGGTAGTATAAAAGCTAACTTGAGTTTGAAAACTTAGACAAGAAATTGAGCAGGTAAATGTGATTCGATAAAGATATTTATTTTTTGATCAGCATTGGTAATACGAACAAGTTGAAAAGTTTGAGTAAGCAGATGTTGACGAATGAAGTGACAGTCAATTTCAATATATTTAGTATGCTCATGTGACACTTTGATTATCACAAAATATAGAAGTATTAGAGGGATGAAAAACATCCATACCCTGAAGTAGCCATCGTAATCATAAAAGTTCTGATGTGGCATCTACAAGAGCTTCATATTTTGCTTCAGTACTAGAGTGAGATACCATTGTTTATTTTTTACTTTACTAAGAAATAAAAGAAAAACCAAGAAAGAAACAATAGCCTATGATAGAACGACGATCAGTAGGATTTTTTATCCAATCAGCATCATAATAACAATGCAAGTCCAAAGAGAAAATAGAGGAAAAATACAAACCATAAAACATAGTACCCTTGACATATCATAGGATCCGAAAAATTGTAGTAAAATGAATAGATCGAGAAGCAAACAAAAATTGACTAACCAAATGAATAGCATAGGCAATGTCTGGACGAGTAATTATCAAGTAAATGAGACTACCCACCAGAGTTCGATACAAAAAAAGGTCTGAAAGTGGTGTACCATCAAAAGGAAAAAGTTTCAAATTCTATTCAAGTAGTGATGATGTAATCTTGCTATTAGTTAAACCTATTCAAGTAATAAGATCGAAAGCATACTTTGTTTAAGACAAATATAAACTAGTAGAATCACTGGTGACTCTAAGACCTAAAAAATAACTCAAAAGATCTTTCATCTCAAACTTAAAATGAAGATAAGTCTTCAAATCTTGAATACCATTTGCATCATTACCCGTAATGATCATGTCATCTACATAAAGAAAGAGAAGAGTAATATCATTTTCAGTAGTTCAAGTAAAAAAGATAGAATCATGATTACTAGATATAAAATTAAGTTGTGCAACAGTGGTACTCAACTTTGAGAACCAAGCTCTAGAGCTTGCTTAAGACCATATAGAACACATCGAAGATGATAGACCATGTTAAAAGTTACAGATGAACTAGGAGGTGGGTTCATATAGACTTTATTGGTAAGATCACCATTCAAAAAGATATTTTTAATATCCATTTGAAAGGTTGGTCACTTTCTAGCTGCAGCAACAGCTAATAGTGAACGAACAGATATGAGACATGCAACTAGGGTAAAAGTCTCTTCAAAATCAATGTCATATTCTTGTATAAATTCTTGAGCAATAAGACGAGCTTTGTAACATTTCATTGACCTATCAAACTAGTTTTGATCTTGTAGACCCACTTACAATCAATCATTGACTTATCAAAAAGTCGTTCAACAATATCCCAAGTATGAGTTTTCTCAAGAGCCTTGAAGCTCTTTTGCCATTGCTTGTGCCATATAGGATTAGAGATAGTTTTACGAAAGTTGTGAGGTTCATGTAATGTGGCTAAAACATAATAATAGTAAAAATCATGAAGTTGAGTGTTAGATTCTCTTACTTGGGTGAAACGATGAATTGAATGCGGTATGTATGAGGAAGGAACAACTATATTAATAGAGTCTTAATCAAATCAGATATAGTAGGAGTAAAAGAAGATGGATCACTGTATGAGTCAAAAGTATCTAGAATAATCTCTTTATTGAAGAAAAATCGAAAGATGAATCTGTAAAAATACACTGAGAAAAACATGGTGAATGTAATGAGGATACACTTGAGATGCAAAGATGTTTAAACACTAGATCATAACACCATACCCTTTGTGTTCTATACCATAACCTAAAGAATAACACAATCTAGCTCTAAGTTCAAGTTTAATCCTTTTTATGAGTAAAAAGTATAACAAAGCAAGTACATCCAAAAATTTTGAAAGAATAATAATTAGGTACCTTATTGTATAAATACTCATAGGAAGACCATGTGCCTAATATTGGTGTGAGAATACAATTAATAGTGTAAACAACAATGAGAACAGTTTTACCCAAAAAATGTTTAGGAAGGGAAGAGAAAATGAGAAGGGCATGAATTGTGTCAAGAATATGATGATATTTTCTTTTTGTTCGACCATTTTTTTATAAAGTATATGGCAAGACCTATGTGAAAGAGTTCCATCATCCTTTAACAAGTTACGAAACTTAATTTTTATATATTCAACAGCATTGTTAGACCTAAAAATTTTTATTTTTCTAGAAAATTAAGTTTGTATCATGTTATTGAATTCACAAAAATGGATAAAAGTTCAGTTCTTTGTTTGAATAAATATATCTAAGTATAATGAGAGAAATCATCAATAAATATAACAAAGTAATGTGAATCTCCTAAGGTTGATATGGAAGCTAGACCCTAAATATCAGAATAGACTAAATCAAAAGGAGCAGATGAGATAGAATCACTTTTATTAAAAAGGTAAAACACTTTGCTTTCCAAGTTGACAAGACAAACAATCAAAAATATTATGAGAAACATTACTAAGACACCAATGGAAGTAAGTGACTTTATTCGAGAAATAGATGCATGTCTTAGCCTATAATGCCATAAATTTAAAGAAATTGAAGAGTTGATTGTAGTAATAGTAAGCAAATATTATGGATTTTCAAAGTTTCAAGCTCAAATAGTATTCCAACTTTACACTTTATCCTAACTTTTTGACCTGTTTGAGGATCCTACACAATAGAACCATATCTTGCAAAAAATACAAATCAAAACCAAGGTTACAAAGTTGGAAATAGAAAGCAAATGTAAGGCAAGATTAGGAACATGGTAAGTGTTAGATATATATAGTTTTAAGGTTTCAATATTATCAATGTGGCTAGCTTTTAAGACAGATCTATTTGCTATTTTAATAATTAGACCATTAGGTATAGGTATCTTGCTTTTGAACAAATAAAGGTCAGCAGTCATATGATTTTCACGGGCAGTATCAAACAATCAAATATTACCTGATGTGACAGTAGACATGGCAAGAACATGAGATCGAGATAATATTTGATTGAATAAAGTTTGAAGATTAGTGGGGGAGATTGTAATGGCCTCAGAAGAAGACTCAATTGTTTAGTTCAGTGGTTGTTACTGCAGTAATCTTGTTAGTGCGAGGATCATAAATTAGACTATCGTTATAATGATATTTAGCCTTACATTTTTGAATGGGATTATTAGTCCTCTCATATTGTGAACAAGACTTGTGAAAAGTAAAACTAGTACTTTTTTTAGAGCAACAGCAATAATAGTATCAATACTATGAGTTCGACTCATATCCAATCGAGTTTCTTTAGATATCAATTCTATAAAAGCATTATACATAATTGGTAAAGGATGTTGGTGCACAAGTAAAGACTTGGTATTTTCAAATTCATCTCAAAGTGTCATTAGAAATTGAATAAGAAGAATTTGATTTCGATAAGTAATAAAATTACCAACATTGCTTTCATCTTTGAATTTTGGCTCAAAATTTTCAAGCATGTCCCATAAATGTTGCATTTTAGAATGAAAATAATCAAATGACTGACCTAGTTCTTGACGAAGATGAGATTAAAGTGATCAAAAAATGATATTGATGAGCAAGGGTAGTAAAGTTGTACTATGTGACAAGAAAATCTCAAGCATATTTAGCAAGTTCAAATCATCCAAAATGTACATTGATAAAAGAAATAATAGCATTGGTGAACCATGTCAAAATTCAATGATTCTTACTTTCCCATTACTCTAACCAATTTACAAATTTATCACCAGATTCTTCTTCTTTTCTTTTTGGTACTTTGCATTCTCCGATAACAATAAGCCATAATTTCATTCCCTTTATATAACTAGGCATAGCCGTAACCCACTTATTGTAGTTATTTTTATCAAGGATAATGGAAATTGGTTGTATATTTTCTTGTTGAATACTTGCCATTAAGCTCTTGAAAAAAAATGAAGATTTGGAAAGTTATGAGTATTGATATTAAAGATAAATTTTGAAAAAGGGAAGAGAAACCCAAAAAATTGAAACGTGAAAGTAAAAAATGAAGTTTAGAAAGAAGAATAAACAAATGATGAAAATAAGTAAATATTGATTATTCCAAGGTGATTCACCTTCGGAATGAATCATGAAATTACTCTGATACCATGAAAAAGGAAAAAATGATGAAAACTTTATTATAATGACATATATTATAATGAAGCTTAGAGCCTATTTATACAAAGGTAAAATGTTACAAAATAAAACATACAGTCAATAGAAATAATAACTAAATCAATTCTTATAATCAACTAAATCAATATCTAATATTCTCTAAATTAATAATGTTATAAAATAAAAAAAAATACAATCAATGAAAATAATGACTAAATCAATTCTTATAATCAACTAAATCAATATATAATATTCTCTAAATTAATATCAAATCAATCAAAATATTACCAAAATATTACTAAAATATCACTGACAATTTTGAAAATGAATCAATTCTAATTTATTAAGGTGATTGTGACCTATTAATGTTATTATTATCCTTTTATTTTCTAATTCCATTGTTGAGAATTACACCCTCAAAATATTCTTGTAACATATGCTAGTTGGGTTTTTTTCAATAAAATTACATGTACAATAAAAATGTGCTAATTATAACTAAACAAAATTTAAAATACAGAAGTCAATAATAAAAATACTAAATAAATTAATGAATATCAAACTAACTAAAATTCATAATAAAAATTTTAAAGATTTATATTTAATGTATTAATAATGTATAAATTCTATATACTATTAATATATAATAAATTTACATTTCACTGTTAAGCAAATTTAAAAGTTTTAAAGCTCTCCTTAATAAACAGATATTAATTTTAATTGTTTGGCTCCAAAAAAATTCTATTTTCTTATGAAACTTAAGCAATCACAGCTATAAAACCCTAAATGTGTCCAGGTAACCTGGATGGAAATGATATTCTATTAATTCTCGAATTCCCTAGCACATGAATTATAGTTGTTTATTGTAGTCACTGTAGTCTTGTGGGTGAATGTATGCATAATCAATTGGCTGCATTATTTCCTTAGTGACCCACAATTCGGTTGCCCGAAAATCAAGCCAATGTTTATATTTTTCCTGTATTTTTCATGGAAACCTAATTTTCTATATGCTTATATCTGAAAAAAAAATTAACTTTGACAATTAAGGTAAGTCACAATTGCAATTAGAAATAAGGAGAATGATAGTTTGACTTTGATTTGAAAATGTAAACCCTCAAAATTTCACCACTGTGAGCCATGTCATTCGTAATCGCCAATCGAGGTCTCTAACCACCACAGTTCAGCTTTCATTAACCACAATAACAGCCCAAACCCTTACACCTCTGTCGAGTTCTCTCCAACAAAGACTATAAAAAAAATAGAGAAATATGAAAAAAACATTATTAACTAAATATTATAAATTTTACTCAATATTTTTTAATTAAAATTAATAAATATTTATTAAGACGGAATTTAAAACGTTTAAATTTGTTTATAAGGTGTTAACTTATTATTCATTAACAATGTATAGAATGTCCCTAAATTTATACTACCAAACAAGGCCCATGTCAAATACGAAGCAAGCAGCACTTACCTGCAAATACAGCTACACTCAAAGATGCTCCTAATAATCGAGGGTCTTTGCCAAGTGATACTGTAACATCTTCCACTGGATGTCCTCGTTCTTGTTCCAATGCCTTGATGAACCACTCTCTAAACTCTCGGCAATTGTCCACGGCTGGAGGGTAAGGTTAAGGTCCACGGTTCGACGCTTTTCACCTTCCATTGCAACCTCTCGAACGTCGGACCCGTTTTGGAGTCTCCTGATATTGTCTATCTCTTCGTCAACGACCACTTCATTATACTTCACAGTAGTGCTAGAAGATTTAATGCATAAAACTTGGTCGTGATGAAAATGAAAATCTAAGAGCCTTTTGGAATGCAATTTTTGCTGGTGATGATGAGAAACCTGCTTTTCGAGCATTTCCTCGCAAGGGTACTGAGGATGTTGAAGTCGAAGCAATGAATTCCTGTTCAGGTTGGCGCTCTTGGTTTGTTTGGAAAATCCTGGAAAGATGAATTTTGGACCGAGGAAGCTGGGAAAGATAAGATTAACCCAATAAACTATAACCCTACAATAGAATGCAGTAGCTATCCAGGGACAAAAAAAAATCTGTAAACAAAAACTTCCAAATGGCTCGACTTTTTTTTTCCTTGTTTTATTTTGTTGAAAGCGTTACTACTTTATGATCTTGTTTTGCATGATGTGCAATTGATATTACTCTTGATCATCGCACATGCTGGCATTTGGCACAATTTCGACCACCATCGATATAAGCTAGCTCTTGGTACGGGCAAATGCTACGACTACCATCAGCACATGCTGATCATTAGTGCAACCATATTTCTCGACCTCCATCTGCACATGTTGACTATTACCCGCAAGAAAGCAACAGTACAATAGCAGGGTGCTACGCAAATGAATTAATATTGTAGAAAAGAATCAAAGATGTGCAAAGACTAAATATCTGGCAAAATATATTCCTTTATTTACATATAAGAAATTTTCACAAATATATTGCAACCCATCATGTGAAGGGTTGCTCTTTAAGATTACATTCAAGTTCAATTACTGTATAAAATATATAAAGCATCTACAACTCTTTGGGGATAGTTTAAAATTTTCAACTGTCTATCTATTAGAATTTGAATGAAAGAGAATGTAGAATGGAGGATGCAGGCCGGTGTCATACTTTCCAAGTGACCATCGGGTTAGCAGTGACGTCAAGCAAAATCAATTGCTGCAAATCCAATGTCTTCAACTCATCTGGAAATCAATGGTGTCTCTCAGCCAGGTTCCAAGGTTTACTCGTCCATGGTGCTTCCTTGACTAGGTAGAACAAATTACAAACAGGGAAGTCAGTTCAGGTCATACTGCAAATGCTTGCAGATCAACATGCCGCATCTATCTTGGTAATAGAAATTACAAAGTAACTCCAGCCGGTTAACTGACTTATAGTTCATCATTAAATAGGAGTTGAAACAAGATTACAGTTCGGTTTCTGTTTATACACATTTCCAGCACAGAACACGTGAGACCTATACGTAAAATTACAAAGTAAAGAGAATATAATTGAGCCATACCTTCACATTCCAAACCCTTACATCCAGGAGCTTCGATCCACTCCATTTGGATTAACACTTCCCCACACTCAACATTTCTCAGTTTGAGATGCATGTCTTGGGTGATCTTGCCATTATTCCAAACAATGCTGCTCTCATCTGCAAGGCAATTTGTCCTGCCTGGCTGTATTCTTTTGAGTGCACAGCCATTAGGGAGATTACGCAAGCTCTTCCCCAACTTCAACGCTGCTATATATGGTTTAATGTCTATCTCTGCATCGCCCATTTGATCATCTAAAGTAAACATGTCTTTGTCATACACTGCCTGCAAAAAAAAAAAAAAAAGAAACAAAGCAAATTGAATGGAATTAGGAGAAAGTCCACTATATATTATTTCTGCTTCAAACTATCCTCCCGACTGAATCTTTGGCATTCCAAAAGGCACCACCAGAAATTATCCATCATTATGATTTATGTTCCTCTAGGCAGACTCTAGTACTAAATAAAATTCAGCATTCGGCCTTTACCATTCATAACAAACTGAAAATATATGCAATAAATATTGGATATTACTTACTAAATTGATTGGAACATTAGGATCTTTGATTGAAAGAATCAGTTCATCATTCCACTCGGGATTGCAGTTTTTTTTCACCACATGCGTCTTCAATTTCTGCAGAAATTTATGCTACATAATGTTAGAGAAATCGACACATTAACAACCACAGAGCTTCAATTTATGAATTTGGTATAGTTGACATCAATGGTCAAAATTCAGCTGTCTAGAAATGCACATGAAAATTCTCGTGCCAATCAAGTTATATTTACACCTAAACGAAGTTTGTAAACCTAGAGACATGTTTCAAACCACTCCATGGTACTGAAGACAAATGTCATAAACGTATATACTAGGTTCTTTAAGTCCATTCCAGAGGATCCACTCGATCGGAGATTGGACTCCTACAAGTTCCTCATGGATATATTCTTGAATCTTATCATGCTGTACTGAATCAAACCATAATTGGGAACAAAGAAACAGATTAAAAAAAAGTACTGAAGGAAATCAACCCATTGTGCTAAAGTGAACCCATACAAGAGGCAAACTATTTGAGTAATTTCCAATCAACTGGCAAAACTAAAAAGAAAGGAAAAGTTAACAGGTTTTAAACTTAAATCTGCAATTAAAGGAATTGTAGATTCTGTTCATGGCAAAGTCCTTATCTTTGCAGAATTTTGTTTCCAAAAAAAGCACAAAATTTCAGTTCCTTTCTTTAATCCCTGAACCTAAGTTATTTTCATGGAGCAAAAATATAGCTGAAAATCATTAAACCCTGTGAGAGACATCCTCGGCTATCTCTATATTAACTTTCTTCAACAGGATGATACTTAGCAAGAATTTCATTTCAAATTAAACCAAATAACTAAACATAATTTCCCAGGCAGACCAGTGGAAAGAAAAGAATCCAGCATCAATCATCATGAAACAAAGTTAGGTTAAAAAAGAGAGGCAGAGAGATTAAAAAAATGTAGGTAATAAGTGACCTGTTGACCCATGGTGATGACAACATAAGGATCACTGCTAACGGTATCACGAACAGCAAGATTGATGCCTCTTCGGACAATGATTCTGAGAAGTCCCAAGGTATCCTCCATTGCAAAAAAACAAAGCTATTTGAACCAAACAAAACAAATTGAAAAATAAAAGCTTTCTTTAACTTCGTCACTTAATGAGATTAAAATAATGCCAGAAACTAGAATTTAGAAAGAATCATGTAATAATATAAATTTGACATGCAAATGCTTTGTCCGTAACCCCAGCTGAGGAATGAGGAATGTTTTCCACAATCTTTAGACTGGGCCTCAAATCTAAATGCAACGTGTCTTGGCTCAGACAATTTAAATACATGAAGAGGGACAAGACAGAAATACCATAAAGCAAAGTCAAGAGCATCAAAATTTCAAAAGGATAGGTGGTTCACCGCTGCCTTCGGTCTCCCCTTGTTTTGTTTTAAAGATTGTGTGATCATCATCAGAAGTTATCCCCACTTCCTCTCAACAATGTGATAGATACTAGGGGGGAAATGGGAGTAAATTACAAACAAACCAATGGAGCAGTTTCATTTTACTTATAACAGCATAATTTGTTTTTTCAGTTCTCTTAACTTAGTTCTGAAATAAAAAAATTATGGTCTGATGTTTGAATATATATATATATATATATATATATATATATGCTCAAGATGTTTAGCATCTGTTTCGAGTGATCACACATGTTGCCTCTGCTTCGGCGTGAAGAATTGAATACCAAAAAATGACAGATGAAAGCTTGACTCCCCTATGCATTGTTTGCAAGCTGTCTCCATTGTGAAGACAATAGGTTTCTTAAAATCTTCAGCAAAGGAAAGAGATGAGACTCCCTAGGTTGAAGATATAATTGAAACCACATCTTACTTGTGACAACATGACGTGGAAGTACGTTTTAATGTAATGGAAGGGTGAAATTGATAAGCCAGTCACCTTCGCACTTCTGGTTTTTGTAAGTTTCTGTAGTGGAATTACCACAAACAAGAATAAGGAATAATTCTTTTTGGTATTCTGATCAGCCATCAGTGCAATATTTGAAGATCTTTCACGGGATGGCAACACATTTTCGTTTTCCTGGCACTGCCCATTGCCCAATTATCGCTACGTTTTAGACTATAATACGTAAGATAATATCACAAACTGCTTTTAAATTATAATTAAATATTTAATATGATATTTTAATTTTAAAAAAATTTAATATAATATCTAAATTATAAATTTATTAACTAATATAATACTTAAAAAAATATTTATCCATCATATATTATTATTTAAAGTTAATTACATTGAATTGAATACTATATTAATTAATAAATTATAATTCAAATATTCTATTAACGTTTTTAAAAATTAAACACTATATTTAATATTTTATTATAATTTTAAAAATCATTCATAATATTAAACTTAATATAAATATTAGGTTATGATGTCGACATGTTTACATATAACTAGTAGACCAACCATACAAACAAACAAACATTATATTTTATTTGTACAAAAAATTGTTAGGAAATTAACACGCAAATGCAGCACTAACACAAAAATACAGTAAGTTCAAATCAAAAATAAAAATATATAAATATATTTGTTTTAGCCTAACTCAAAATGATATATTCCAAACCTAATCCACTAACAAATAAATCTTTATAACTGTAAAACTTTTAGAATAAAAAAGTCTTCAAAAACTTCTTACTCAAAACTTAATCAAAAACTCAATTATACTCTTTTAATAGCCTATTTACCTAGCTATTCTCTTGGTGTCTAACTATCTAAAATTATCAAATCAAAGCCAAAACATCTTATTTATAAGGGTGAAATTCCTTATATCTTTACTAAACTCCCGATGTGGGATACAAGACAAACTTAAAACTCTTATAACTTTTGATGTGGGATTATGAAATTGAAGGCAAATCCCAACAAATCTTCCCTTGACTTAAATCTTTAAACACTTCAATAGTATCTACAAAGTTAACACACTTATCTTTTTTCTTTTCTTTAATCATGGGGTTCTCAGCAACTGAGCCTCCATCAAGCATGTATAAGTGATTTTTGACCACATTCCCTTGTAGAATCACATTATCATTTTTATACACTTTCAATGAATTATTACTACTATAGTATGTGTACCCGCAAAAGTTAACTCACCCAAAGTAATTAAATTATAATTATAACTCGGCACATACCTTACATGTCAAAGTGTCCTAACAACACCATTATGAGATATAAGATGAACACTCTTAATGCCTTGAATTTACATATTTTCATTGTTAGCAACCACAGTATCCCCATACTTTTCATTCTCATCTAACTCCACAAAATAACTCTTATCATTGCAAACATGAACTGTAGCAGCTGAATCTAAAACTCTAAATTTTATCACATTTTAAAATCTGAGTCTCATCCACACAAGTCGTCAAAACGATATTATCATCATCAGGCACAACAACAGTAATATCATTCTTTTTTTCATCCAATTTTTTCTCATCATTCGTCATTTTGAAAGCAACCATATCTCTTATCAGCTTCTTACAGGTACTTGGATATATCTTTTTTCATCATAATAATAACATTCTATGTCACTGTAATATTTGTTTCTTGACTTGAATCCCCTCTTAATCCATCAATCCTCTTTTGAGTTCTCCATCGATCAAAACCCTCTACAGTTAGTGCATTCCCCCTAGGTGATGAGTTTTGTGCTCCCATAAACCTTTCATTCGCACGCAACAAGGCAATCACATCATCCAACTTCAAAGTAGATCTACCCACCAATAAAGTCTGAACTAAAGGCTTATAAAACTTGGGCAAAGATGACAGTAAAATTAAAGCCTTCTCGTTATCTTTTAATTCATCAACGGAAATAACCAACAATTGAAAAATCAATCTATTAAACTCATTCAGGTGATTATAAAAACTCGTACCTTCTTTTATCTTCAGAGAATACAAATCCATCTTCAAATATAATATGTTAGTTAATGACTTCGACTCATAAATACCTTCAAGCTTATCCCATAAATTCTTCGGAGTATTCTTAGCCAACACATTATATTTTACCTCAGGGGTTAGTACCAATCTAATAGTACTAACAACTTTCTTCTGAATTCTATTCCAATTACCGTAAGACATTTTCTCAGGCTTATTACTTTTTAATACCTGATCCAACTCTTGTTATACTAACAGATCTTGAATTGTACTTTATCATAACACAAAATTATACTTTTCATCAAATAACGAAATCTCAAACTTAAGCGTAGACATACTAGTCATATCTTTTTCAGACATATTGAAATACTGCTTTACGATCTCTTAGGCCCACGAACCTTAAATCTTGAACATCGCTCTGATACCACTTGTTAGGCAAAAAGCCTTAAATCCAATCACATTAGCAGAAACTAAATCAAATAATCAATTAAACATATAAGAGATAATAATTTAACGTGATTCGGTCTAACTGACCTACGTTTACGGATGAGAAATAATATTCACTAGTTGTAAAAAATTACAAACATACATCAAGATGTATCAACCACTTAATAATCAATACTCATAGACCCTCTCAATATCCTCTAGTCCTATGTAGTATTTTCAACTGAAACAAACACATATCCATATGCACATTTTTAATACAATCAAACACATACTCATGTGCACTCATACATCACATCTATATGAATCATCTTAGTTTTCTTTAGTCCACTCACAAGCAAACATATACACCTATAAAACGTAAAGTCTTAGTACTCATATGGAGTATCTATCTTACAAAATCTTACAACTTTCTTATATCTTTTTCTCATGCCTAACCCTATAGAGACTTTACCTATTTATAACGATAAAAACTTACCTATTAAGAATCTCTTTTCTCTTAAAATTCTTTTCCTACAAGTCAAATTTACCTATTAAGAATCTTTTTCCTCTTAGAATTTTTCTCTTGTAAGTGAAACTTACCTATTAAAAATCTTATTTCTCTTATAATTATTTTTTTACAAGTTTTCTTATTCATCAAGTAATATCCGGCCAATCTCAAATAAATCTCTTATGGGATTTGAGTCATTATTCCTAACAATCTTCACCTTGACTCAAATTCTATCAAATCATTTATCTTCATGCTAGATATGCTTAGCTTCACATGCAATGAAAGTCTCACAGTCATTTTCTCTTGTGTGTTTTCATGCTTCATGTAAATCGATCTTCAATCCTTAAAATTTAAACTTAAAATCTTCTCTTAATCGAACTCCTTTAGGTTTGCTCCTTCCCATGTCTTAAACTATTAGCTTTTTTCACATCTCAAACCTTCAGCTTTGATACCATTTGTTAGGAAATTAAAACACACACAGCACCCACATGCAAAATTGAAGCTCAAATCAAGAATAAAAATATACAAATATATTTGTTTCAGCCTAACTCAAAATGATCTACTTCAAACCTAATCCACTAACAAATAAATCTTTATAACTGTGAGACTTTTAGAATGAGAAAAGTCTCAAAAAACTCTTTACTCAAAACTTAACCCAAAACCTAATTACACATTTTTAGTAATCTACTTATTTAGTTATTATCTTGGTGTCTAACTATCTAAAATCACTAAACTAAAGTCAAAACATCTTATTTATAAAGGTGAAACCCCTTATACTTTTACCAAATTTCTAATATATTATATAAGATAAATTCAAAACTCTTATAACTTTTGATGTGAAATTATGAGATTTAAGATAAATCTCAACAAAAATAAATATCAATTCGAAAGGGCTAATTAAATAATTAAGGTCAGCGATTTTTTTTTTTTTAAATTTCGAGGAAAAGAAGATTTCAATCAATTCTTTGAATAAAAAATATGTGATTAATTCAAATACTCAAAAGAATTCATTTATTTCTTTCCTTTTTTTAATAATGGATAAGTGAAGGCTACGGAATAAATAAGATTGTTTATACCCTTTGTACATTTTTATTGTTCTAACTAATTTGACTTTCACAGAATTTAATTAAAATTTTGATTTTGGTGTCTTTTGTAAAATTTTAATTTCTTTTATAAAATAAATGTTTTAAAACCGAAAAATAAAAAAAAAGTTATAACTATTGTGAAATATAAAAAAGTAAGAGTATTAAATATTTAAACAAAAAAGCATAATTTTGGTAGATCCAAAAAAATAAATAAAGAAAATAGGAAAAAAAATTATCCTTTCGGATCCTGGTAGAATAATAGAAATAAAGTATTTAAAATTGATAGATTAATAAGAAAAAATAGGCAAGTAATTGAGAAAATTACAAGATTTTATAAATTTGATTCTAATGTTGATTAATTAGCTTTCCTTCTGCTAATCCAATTTCCATAAATGAATGGCTTTGATATGTTGGAAATAAATGCAACTGCAAAGCATATATCTTCCTTTGTTTATGTATCTTTTGATCTTTTGCATTTGGTCACATTCCCTAATTCCCTAGAAAAAGGTATTGGGTGAGATAATTGGAATGCTTAATGTTTTAAGGATTCATGAAGTACATTTTAAGGTCAATGATATTTTTTTTAATTTTAAGGAAACGAAAATCTCACTCAATTTCTTTTGTGTTTAAATGGTATGTATATTGATTAAATTTTTAAAAATTATAAATTAAAAAAATTTAAATGCGTACTTTTTTAAGATGAATTAAATAAATAAAAAATTAATTGAAAAAAATAAAAACTAAAAGTTAAAGGTAAATTGAAAAAAAAATTGCTATAAACGTGGTTTAAAATTTGAGATTTTAATTTACAAACTTGAAAATGAAGGATTCTATTTTCTAAAAAAAAATGAAAATGGACTGAGATCAATAAAATGTGTAAACCAATGAAGTTTTGATTTAATAATAAAGAGAAAGATTTAAAATTTTAATGTTTTAGATTCAAGTTTTATTGTGTGTAAATTTAATTGTTTAATTAAATTATAATTTATTAATTAATTATATAAAATTATTAATATAATATTTGATTATAAATATAATTTCGAAGTAAAATAAAATTTATAATATTATTGTTGTTTATTGTTGTTGATGGTCACTTGGCCTTAATAACAGAAAATTTGAGAAGAAAAATTAAAATAAACCGGCCCGGTTTAAAAAAATTGTAAAAGTGAAAAAGACTTGAAAGACAAAACAGGGGTCTTTTTCCCAGAGGGAGAGAGATGGGGAGATTTTGGGCCATTGGTGGTTGTATGGGTGAAGCGTCATTGGGGGTATTCGATTCTGAGGGAAGGTCGGCGTGAATTCCCAGCCCCCTAATCCTTTATCAACACGGAAACAACAACTTTTATATAAACTGGAAAACTAACAAACGAAACAAAAAACAATAATAATCGACTTTAGTTGCACACAGTAAACCTTTTTGTTTTTGTTGTTTTAAAATCACAGCCGACCCCCCAATATCTCTCTTAACCAGAAACCCCATCCCTTTCCTTACCTCTCTCCTTTTTCTCATTTAAATACCTTCATAAACGCTCAAGCGCCCCTCGCCCTTCTTCTAACAGCAAAAATTCCTCTCTTTTTGTCGAAAACTGCGATACCCAGAACTTTTTTGTTCTTTTTGGATTCAAAACTTTGATCTTTTAGTGTTATTGTGAATGGTGGAAACAATTCGGAGTTGTAGTAATTTGATGCTCTCCCTTTACAAATCAAGGGCGAGCACTATCCTCCCTGTTTCTGCACCCTCTTCTTTCGCCTTTGGCTCTTGCAAAGAAGGCTGGTACTACCGCTGCCTCGGCCTTGACCCGTGAACAAGCCCAGAAATCTTTATAGCCTCCGCCAATAACCCAGATTTCGTTCTTTTGTTAAAATCCAAAAAACAAAATAAACCCGTTGTTATCTCGGTTTTTGGTGAAATATTCATTTCTTTTTGTTGGTTTGATTTTTTGGGATTTTGATAAAGTTGAAAGAATGCTTCTTTACAAGCAGAAGAAACACCAGGGTCCCAAGGGCAACAGGCTCTTGATTAGCATCAACGTTTTGGGAAGTGCAGGGCCGATCCGTTTTGTTGTTAACGAGGAACAGCATGTTGCTGATGTCATTGATACTGCTTTGAAATCCTATGCTCGTGAGGGTCGGCTCCCTGTTCTCGGATCTGATCTTAATGATTTCCTCCTTTATTGCCCCAGTGCTGGATCAGATGGTAAGTTTATTGAAATCCTCTGGAATCATTGCCCATGTCAGTTTCCACTTCAATCTTAAGAATAAAAATTTCCAAGGATTTATTTATTAGGATTTTTGTTATAAAATTCGAAGCTTTGTCCTTCAAAATACGGAACAAATTTTTGTTTTGTTTGGGAAAATGTGTTTGGTTATTTATGATTTTGGTGTTTGGTATTTTTATTGCAGCACTGAGTCCATGGGAGACAATTGGATCACAAGGGGCTCGGAATTTCATGTTGTGCAAGAAGCCAAGGTCTGAGAAAATGGAAGATGACGGAAGGTCGAATGAAGCAACTACTAGGAAGGGAACTGGGAATTGGAAGGCATGGATTAATAAATCCCTCAATCTCAAAATTTCTTCCCATTAATTAAATAATTCTCAATCCTTAATGATATTTATTTCTTGTGTTAAATTTACTTTTGAAATAAGGACTTAAATTAGGCTATCATGGATGGCCATGGTAGAATGTTGGTTATGTTTTCACCCTATTTCTCATTCAAGTGAGAAAGACCTGGAATGTTTTCCAGGAATGAATTGAAGCTGTTATTCCGTCTTTTCGCTTTGCAATAAAAATGAACATTGTTGGTGCCTTAATTTCCAAATTTGTGTTTGAAAGGTGCTCGTTCTGTTGTTGATTGGTTGTGATGGATGATCATATTTATGTCGATAGGCCTGGAATCTTGTTGTGGAACTCTATTGGGTTTAGCCGTTTAGCTTGCGTCCATTGTTTGAAAAGTTCTTATGAATTGCCCATAACCTTGGTGTTGTAAATGGAAAAGTTTGGTTTGAATTGTCAATAACATCGGTGTTGTCATTAGCTAGTATCTTGCACGCTCTTTTGCTGGATTTTGATTTGCCAGTTGGATATAGCTACTTGGCTAGAAATATAGGACATAGAGGATGGATGGCCTGAATCATTCAAATTATTATAATTTAAGAATTTTATTTCAATCTGATCAACATCGCACTTAGGAATAGAATCTAGTTAGGCGATGCTCATTTCTGAACTCTGACCAAAATCAAACCAACGTTGGAATTGTTTGTCTTGAGATTAATAAAATTTTGACTATTGTTTCAAACTTCAAAGACTACTGTTGTTGTGCACAACGGGGGCCAAATTCTTATCAATCTTGAAACAAATAGTTAAATAAAGTTAGATATAGTCTAATCAGCAGGTTTAGTGTCCACTTTCTCTGTTTAATTCAAATTTTGTCTCATGTCATTAGTTGAAAGATTCAAGTTGATTTGTAAACAGATTCATCTTTGTGATTGTGTGAGTTGACCTTCATGTTATTTGGTAGACTTTCAGTTCAACATTTGATATATGAGTTTACCAATATTGACGTTATTGTGGAAAGCTGCCCATCATTTTAATTGAAAATACTTGCAACAGGTAAACATATTTTTCATAATTGAAATGGGAATGCAATGTTGCTTTCCTGATTATACAGCTTGAAAAGTTTGGGGCCGGCTTCTGCCTAAAATGCATGGCTCTAAATCAGATGACGACTTGCTGCTAAACTTATCGTGATATACAACTCGTTCCATTATCAACAGACGATTATATAATGGTGATCAATGGAAGCTAGGAGACAGCTTGCTTATTATATGGATCCTAGATGAGATTTTGATTTTAGGCATATCCGCTTGAAAGCTTGACCCTGCCTGCAATTGCTTTGTTCCCATCTTTTGGTCCTTACGAGAGATCGATATCTTCTGTGCTGAAGTTTTTTTACAGCTCCAAATTTTCTTCTCTTTTTCCCTCTTTTAAGGGTTTTATCACATGGTACACAGTACGTGCGGCTAGCACGGCCTTTCTTCTCTATTCTTTCCTTTTCATTCTTGTCGTTTTCAGCAAAATTTGCAGCAGCGAAGGGACCATGGGCGGTGAGCGATTTGAAGGTGCTATACAAAAATATCTTGTCCTAGATTTTCTTAGTTAATGTGGAAGATATGGGGTGTCTTTCTTGCATTTTTTAAAAGCAAAAAATGAGCTTTTCCATTTTCAGCATGATGCTGACGCATCTAAAACTGCATGCCGTATTCAAATTGAATTTTCTTTATTTTATCTAAGTTCTTTGAAAACATTTTTCTTTTGGTTAAGCAAAGTCATTGTACTTTTTGTTTAGAAAAATAAAAATTTTAATAAATCAAATATATATATAATTTTTTAAAAAAATTAATAAATTTTGATATATTTATTTAATAAATATTTTTAATAAAAATATTAATAATTTTTACTATTAAATAAATATCAATCAAATTTAAATTATAAATAATTTTTTTACATATCATTGTTTTTTATATTAAAATTTATTAATTTATTGATTTAAATTTTTTTATTAAAATTTGTATTTATTTATTTTTAATAACAAATTTTATAAATTACACTTATAAAACTTCATGAAAATTTGATTCCACTGCACCTCCATACTTCAATGACAAATTGGATGTTGATTTTACAATTAGACCAAAGCCATTATTCGTTTCTATGAAATCAAATTATTCCATTTAATCCAATTCCAGTATGACAATGGATCGCGCTTTGAGGTTCAGACCATGAGGTCTGTTAAGACTAGTCGCTGACGAACCGAATGAAGGTGTGGGAGCTCCCATGTGACGCCACACCATCGAGACAGACTGCAATCTGCAGTTGGTCCGTCCCCAAATTCCTTTTACCTTAAATTATTAAATTCTTGAGGTGAAATTACGAACTTTGCCATTGAAAACGATTACATAAAATTTTATTTTAAAAATCAAAATTTATAAATTAATATAATTTAATGAAAAAATTAATAATAAATAAAAATAATTATTAAAAATAAAGTTTATAATTAAAATCTGATTAGTCCTTATTTAATTTATTTAATTTTGAAATTTTAGTCAAAATTGTTAATAAAATATGTATTAAAAATTATATTCAAAATTATTAAATTTTTTCAAAATTTTATAGTAACTAAAATTTTTAATCTATAAATTTGAAATTTTAAGTTTAATTTTAATTTTCACACAAATATTTTTAATAAAAAACTTTATAAAATTTTATTTAAAAAACTCTATTTACATATTTATTTATAAGTAAGGTTGACAGCTCAACCTACCTTCAATAAGTTTCAACTTGATCCAACATCTTAATATCATTTTTTTAAATTAAATTTTAAATCGGGTCAAATTAGATAATAATATAAAAAATTAAGGTCAAGTCTTAGATAAATTTGATCCGATATATATAAAAAATTATTTTTTAATTAATTATTTAATTTTATATTTTTATATATTTATTTAATTTTATATTTTTATTAAAAATAATATTTTATTAATTTTAAATTAAATATAATCTATATAATATTGAATAGAATTAAATTCACATGTGAAAAAAAAAAAATCTTTGAATCGGGTCCAATTTGAGCCAAACAAAAATCTGCTCTCACTCAATCCATTGCCATCACTAGTCCTAACCAGGTTTTTTTTTTTTTTTTTTTGGTAATATCTGACTTAGCCCTCTCCCAGAAAACCTAAATAGATAGGGGCTTACCGATAACATATCTAAAAGCCACCCTTTTGTTTGTGAACAAAAAAATAAAAAAGAATCTTTCGAGCCTGAAAAAGTTAGGCCACTACTTGGGCTTAAAGCCCACCAATCACAGATTTAAGATTATATGTACAATGCACAGGCCACTCTAATGCAGAGGACAGAATAGATTTTCTTTTTATCTTGAATACTCTTGCATAAATTTTGTTAAGATACAAGTGTCTCATCACGAAATCACAATTTTTTTTGTGGATTTTAATTCTTACTAAATTTTGGCACATCCAAAAAAAAATTTGTGCTTTGAAAAAGAGAAGCAAGTTAGGGTAATTTTTTTAAATGCTTTTGAATAAAAATTTTATTTTTTTAGAATTAATAAGACACAAATTAATACCTTGAACTTTAATTTGTTATTATAACTTTAATTTGGGTTTTAAGTTACTTTTAAATTGAACTAGTATTCGGTTAACTCGCATCATTAATTTAATAAGAAATTTTAATTATGAATAGAATAAATTTATTTTTATTTTATTTTGGGTGTTTCCTAGAGATTTTAATCTATGGGTACATAACATTTTAACCTTTATTCTTTTAACTCCTAAATAACTAATGACCAAATGAAACATCTGATCAAATGCATATTATTTTATTAATTATTTATCATATATATTATTTATTAAATTAATAATAAAATTATACTTTTAACTATTAATATTATCCTTTTATTGAATCGAGTAAACATACAAGTTGCATAAGAATTGTAAGTTGACTTGGCTTTTCCTAGTGTTCTAGTAAACATACAAGGACCTTGGACCACATCACTCAATAGAAAAAAAATTTTGTATAGAATAATATCAATGAACCATTTTCTGTCTTGGAGCAAAAGGAAAAAGAAAGTTGCATGCCCACCCTTTTCTTCTTTTCGAATTTTCTTCTAATGGATGACATGAAGAGAGGGAAAAAAGTGAGTGTAAAGCAAGGGTTGGAATGGGATATGATGTGATCCCCAAAACATGAGTCAAGAAGAAGTGGGGGTCAGCTCAGAAACCCCAATTTCCTCATGCAAGTTGGCAGCTTGGATCAAATAAAGAATTTCATGCCTTTGCTTTACATTAATATTATAATAATACACCAAAATATTATTATTATTCCTCATAATTCCCTAAAGACATAAGAGATGGTGGCTTTTCTTTTTTCATAATACTAATTTAATGCCAAGTCTAGGGTTAACAAATCCTGAGCAATCAAGCTCTCTTGTTAGTTTTTGCAAACATTTTGATATATATGTATCTGCCCTATAAAATGGGGCATGGGCCTTGGAGGATATGGCATCTCTTTGCCTTGCCTTCAATAAGTTTTGGAGCATCATATGCCCATATTTCATAATGTCAAACATATAATAATAGGGTAGATTCATTTTTCTAATCATTTATTCACCAAATAAAGTGGAGGAAGAAAAGGAAACAGAGACAGACAAACACTCACACATAAGTATTTGAATTTAATATTATTGTTTATATATTAAATAAGAATGGAAATTGATTAAAAATAGCAAAGATTTTATCCGAAAAAAGTAGATTACTGGTATTCTACAGGTTTGGAAAAGGCAATCTGTTTACAACTGTGATATTAAAAATCTTGCACAAGAGTGAGGACTATGAGAATAAATTCAATCCATTTCATTGTCATGAACTTGCTTTGCATCCACCAAAGTAATTCCTTGAGAACAAGTGGCTAAAACCCATGAAAGATGGTGACTTATTCTTTCAGGATCCAACAAAGTAGTGGGAACAGATCCCCCATTTAGATGTTGACACAATTACATATTGACTTGGCAAAACAAAGGAGCATTGGAATTTACTTGGCCATTCCCATTATGGAGAATCAGGCTTGGTTAATATTAGTTCAATTATCCCTGACCGTTACATGGTGGAGGGAATAAGATTTCTAGATATAATTTAAATATAACACATCAAATTCTTTCTTTATACCATTTTCATGAGTTTCAAATTCAAGACAACAAAATTTTCTCTTCTCTTACAAGCAACTTGTATAAGTTTAACCATAAGATCTGGAGTCCAAGACAAAATCCTAATCTTCTCATGTTGGCAACTCAATCATTCAATTATTAGATTAATAAAAAAAATCAGAATAATGGTAACTAACAAGTTGATAAACTATTATGTAGAGTTTGTTAAATATATGAATGCATTAGCTAGCCATCCTCCAATGGGTCATGAAAACATTAAGTGTCCATTTAAAATAGGTAATGAGATTAAAAATATTTGTAACGGCAAAATTAAATATTATGATATTAAAATTGAAATCAATAATAAAATTGTATTTTTGAATGAAAAACACCACATTCAAAAGCCAAGGTAGTTAGGAACGAAAAAAATAGTACAAAACATATGTAGGTGTTTTTTTTTTTTCAATGGAGAAAGGAAAAAGAGACGTAAAATAAAGAGATAATCAGTGAAGAGATGAACACGAGAAAGTGAGAACCTTTTCAAAAAAGTTAACATCCATAATTAATCAACAAATGATTGATTTAATCAATTAAAATCATTTTTTTAGACGAAAAAAATTTTAGATTCGATTCTTATCGATAATTATTTGTTAAAATCATCTCGAATATATAATTTATAATCATTTATCTTAAATTATCAGATATAATAAATCTTGACATAATTTAAAAAATTAAAAAACTTATCTACCTCGAATATTTTTCTTAAAAAAAAAAAAACCATCTGTAATTAAGAACAAGACATAAGTGAGCCCTTTTTTTACTTTCTTATGATTATGCTTTCTAGACATAAAGGGGAAGGGATTCTGTAATAGTGTGTATCTGGTACTGTGAATAGTTTCAACATTGAAAAATATTTATTAATTAATCAGTAATAATAATAACAGCGCAGACTTCAATAGCTCTGCTAATGCTTTCATCGTTGTTGCCAATGTTTTTATTCGAAGTGCAAAAGCAGTATCACAGACTTAGTAAATTTTCGGGTTTGCGCAGCAGCCAGCAAGCTGGGATGTCGACAGTGAAATATTGGATTAGTGAAGAAACTGTTGGGTTTTCTACCAGGCTTCTGCATTTTTTTCACTCTGATTTTTTTTTCTCTAGAATCATAGCATGTCAATATCAATTCTCCAAAAAAGAGAAAATAAAAAGGGTTCTCATTTTTTTTTCAAACCAAAGCTATTATACATATAAACATGAATACATTGACACTTTTTTTTATTCACCCTGAAAATACGAAAGATTTCCAACAAAAAAAAACCTGAAAATTAAAATAAAAAAAAAAATGGACTGAATAATTAGAAAAATTAAAAAAGGGGTCGACAAGATTGGGAGTGGAGGGTCTCAGTCTCATCCGGCAGGACGGCACCAGCTCAGAATAGAACATTGTGAACAACCGAGATAGGGTTTGGTAGGTACCAAACTGAATTTACTCCTAACTCATTGAGTCAAGTAACTAACTCAGCGGGCAAAAGCTGTTATTTTGTTAGCGAGTTTCCACGCAGAAGTCGTAATTAGTGGGCGGTTATGCCATCCCAGCATCAAACACCCGTTATTCTCCTCCACTGCATGCCCATCTCCGCCGGCAAACAAGGCCAACAACATGCTAGCTTGCTTGAACGCATTAGAGCCCAAGTGAACTGGTGCAAACCCCGCCGAAACCAACCGAGTTCTCCACTGAGTCAACGTCTCGTGCCTCTCAACTCGGTCCACCCCTTCACAAGCCACCACATTACAAATCTGTTTTCCCAAATACGCCTCCGACATAACCTTATCCTGACTACTAACCGACCCCTCCAACGAGTCAAATAGCGTCGAATAATAATGTAAAGACTCAGTGAACCGGTCTAAGAAGATCGGACCGTTATGGTTCGCTTCTTGCTCAACAATAGTAACAATCTCAGGCTTCATTCGTTTCACCAGAGATAAAACTTTGTCAATAGCACCAGGCCGAGCCAACAATTTGTGTAACTCAAAAACTGAGTTAACAGCCACGACTTCAACTTCAGTCGGTCTAACATCAAGCATTGAAGCTTCCAAATCAGCCAAAGAATTAGCCACGAACCCACGGTATTCAAACTTAACGTGAATCATTTCAGCTAACTGAGCCAACTTCCAACCAACTTCTTGCAAGTGATCCGAGTTATCATGGCTGGGAGGTCCAATCCCAGTTAATCTAAAAGTCGGTGGACCACCAACTCTTAATGCTAAAGCTTGCATCAAAGCAGGCCATTGCATACCCTGATTCATCGAAAAATCGATAACATGAACCCTTTTTTTGCCTTCAAAAGCTTCTAGAATAGCTTGGTTAGCTGTGAAATGAGCGAACTTCAGATAAGGGCAAGTCTCATAAAAGTGCATGTGAAGAACATCTGATAAAGAATGGTCGAGTGGGTTTTGAGGATATAATCTATAAATCCTTCGAGCTAATGCTTCAGCAAAACACGTAGCAACTTTTCGCATAGCCCCAGCTTGAGAAATCGCTAAAATCCCAATTTGTTTCACCAACGCTTCGGCCAGACTAAAATTCTTTTGCTGGACAGCTTCTGCACATGCCATCAAAGTATGGACGAGCCGGATTCCGTTTTCTTGTGAGTCAACCAGGACTACAGGACGAGTTGACTCAGCCGAAATTCCATATGAAGCATCAGGAGGGAAGATATCCAAGTGCGACCCAGATGAGGATTTCAAGCGTTTTTCAGATTTAACGTTGTTTTGAGTAGAAGGAGACGACGAATCGTGGGTTTGACTTTGGGCTTTTTGAGAATAAATAGCCTTACCCGGAATTGCTTTGAGATCATAGTCTGAACACGAAGCTTCCTCCAAGATTTGTTGCCCTCTTTTCTGATGTTTTTTATTGTTGTTGCCGAAATCCAACGTCGTTAAAGTTGACGACTCAGCCGGGGCAAGAAATGAATCATCTAACGTAGCCGCCGCCGCCGCCGCCGTCGTTCCAGCAGCTACAACAGGAGTGGAGGGAGGGTTAAGCTCGCAGAGCATGCTTTCAAGCCAAGTGGATAGATCGGAAGGATTATAATGAACGGTTTCAGAAGCAAGATGTGAAATCCCATCATCTTGAACATTACACATAACTTCCTCTAACTGCTCAAGCTTTTGAGCCACTTCTGCCATGTCTGAAGTTTTAACCTTGTACCCAAGAACCGCCAAAAGCTCATCCATTCCACAGTCTTGTTGGGCGGCTTCTTCCTCCCACATCTTGGTCTTTCCGGTTGTAGAACCACCGCAAACCGAAGAGCTACCTACAGTCGGTGGGTCTGGGTTGGATTGGAGATGATGAAGGTCTCTTTTCATGATTGTTAATTTCTTGATCTTCTTCTTAGTTTCCTAATTTTGGGATAATTTTTTCTTTCCTTTGGGTGTGGGTATTATGGATTTGTGTGAAGATGCTCAAAAACCAAAGAAAAGAGATGAATGGGTGACGAATCTGAGCATTGGATAGTGGAGGGTTTTGCTTGGTTTTTCATTACTACTCCCACTTCATCATCAGAGTTCAGACCAAAAACATAAAAACAAACTCAAAATCAAAATTAAAGGAATCAAAGGGAGAAAATAACGCTCGTGATGGGCGCGACCTCCAATGACCCACAGAGGGATAACTACAACAACCACAGCCAAACGGATAAAAATATACACTCTCACCCCTTATTTAAGTAATATTGATAATGAGATTATTTTTAAAAAATAAATTTGATTTTTACAACTTCGCCTGTTAAATTAAATTGTCATCTCCACTCCAATTAATTTTTTACTACCTTTTATAGCTAAACTTTTTCAGGGTTTAATTTATTTAACAGCCGAATTTCTTTTTGGTTACTAAGTTCATCTCATTAACTTCTCTCATTTCTTCTTATTTTTGTCCCAATCTGATTTTTATTGACTTATTTATTAGAGTACAAATATAAAAAATACTTTTTATTTTTATCTTTAATCATTTTTTTATATTTATAAAAATACCTTCAAGTTGAAACTCGATACAATATTTTGGCATGTGAGATAGGGGGTCATCTCATATTAACCGAACATAAAATAATGCCACAAAAAAAGAAAAAGAACTTAAGAGGAATGATAGACAAATGCCCTGGCTGGAACAAAAACTCACCTTAGCCAGTATAGGGGGCAGACAAAGCTCTAATGTGTAAAGGTCTAGGAATTACGTTAAAAGACACCACCCAATCTTGGTACAACAGTCTATAACCAAGGTCAATCACTACATTCAATGAGCTCAGCCACTCATTTTTGTCCAGATTTGTGAGTAACTGAAGAGCAAAGAAAATGAGCCTAGGCTTGATGTCAATTCACCAAAGGCGGAATGAAACCTTGAAAAGTTATGTCACACGTTTTAACGTGAAAGCTCTACAGGTTAAAAACTTAGAATAGATGGTTGTTATTGTCGCACTAACGAGTGGACTCAATAATAAAAAATATCATTTAAAGCTGACATTGTTGCTAGACCTGCCCAAAACTTTTGTCGACGTCCTACTAACAGTAGAAAAATACATTAATATTGAAACTATAATGAAAACTAATTGAGGTAAGAGAGACTCATCATTCTTTTTCTTCAGCAGTCGAAGTGAGAGAGGCTCATTCCCCTTTCTCGATCATAAAAAAGATAAGGATTTATACATCATTCCCTCAAAAGGGAAACAATATAAGGCTAGAAGTCCCAGCAGAGAAAGAAACTACACTACACTGAATACCTTTTGTGAGATGATTATGATAAAAATTAAAAGAAATACTGACATCAGATGGCCTAAGCCACTAAGATAGAACACAAAAAGGGATCCGACAAAAAATATGCCTTTCATGGGGACATCGAAGATAATATCGAAAATAGTGTTGACCTAAAAAATAAGATTAAAGCTCTGATAAAAAGAGGTAAGTTGAAAAGATTTATTAGATAAAGAAGACAAAACCAACTTAGAATTGACTACAAACAAGACCATAAAGTGCCCATCTGAGGTAAAAAAAGAATAGCAGAATAAAAAAAAAGAGTTGCTTGAGAAGAAGAGCCGAATCAAAAAAAGGGTTGAGCTGACAATAGTAGGCCAATTGCTAGGGTGATTAACATCATCACAGGAGTTAGCTCCACCTTGGCAAAAAAAAAGTTTAACTCGAGCATAGTAATGGTAGTAGGCACCTCAATAAAAAAAAAGACTGAAAAAATAAGTCGATCTCATTTAGCTTGAAAGATTTGAAAGAAATCTAATACCCACATGATGATGCCATAATGATCACAACCTTTGTGTATAACTATATGGTCAAAATAATCCTATTTGATAATAGGAGTTCGACCGACGTCATATACTATGGTTGTTTGAAGAAAATAAGGATTGGTGAAGATTAGTTGAAGTCGATCATTACCACATTAGTAGGATTTGGGAATGAGTATGTGCCTGTAAGAGAAACTATAAAGCTTTTGATCTCCTTAAAGACTGAACCAAAGATAATTACCTCGATCGTAGAATTCATGATAGTGGATGTCTCATCTGCCTATAATATGATATTAGGCTGACTAACCAATTTGTTATGTGGCCTATAGGTTTAGCCTCTCAATTTAAAGTGAAATTTCTAACACCTGAAAAGATTGAAAAAGTTCAGAGAGACTAATCTACAGCACGATAATGTTCTGTCATAACAATGAAAGGTATGAATGAAAAGCAGACAGGTAACTCGATCAATATCGAGGTCAAAAACAAAGAAAAACTAACGCAAAGAACTAATAAAAAGTAAAAAAATCACCAATAAAAGCACCAAACATAAGATTGACCTGTAAGAAATGCGTTCTTAAGCTGCTCTGAGCTCTTGAGCTTTAAAAAATTTTAATTTTGTTTCATTTCTTAAATTTTTTAAGACAATATTAGAAACAACCAAGCTCCTAAGTCAGTGCGAACAATTTGATGTTACTTGTATCTAGCTAACACGCCGATCAAAACACAACATGAAATGAAGAATATACTTCACTTTTACTAATACGTTCAATAAGTTCTTCAATGTACTAATTATCACGTCAAGATCTATTTTCATAGGAAATGATCCTGACTTAATTGAACAAAAAGAGATAATTGATGAAAAACTAGACTCGAATGTAAACCAACCCAAGCCGACTCAAGACCTCATGATAATCTCATTCTAGAACAATATTCCTAAAAAATATATACAAATCGAAGCCAAGTTTCAATATAAAGACCAACTGATTTAACTCATAAAAGATAACGTCGACCTATTTGCTTAGACATTATCTGACATGCACAGAATTGATATTGAAGTGATGGTCCACAAACTATATACTAATCTCGAGGTAAAATCAGTTTGATAAAAGAAAAAAAAATTAACCCCAAAAAGATAAAATGCTATTGAGAAAAAAGTTGATAAATTATTACGAGTTGACTTTATCAGAGAGGTCTACTACCCTGAGTGGATAGCTAATATAGTCATAATAAAAAAAACACAATAAAAAATAAAAAATATATGTGGACTTTACTGACTTGAATAAAGTTTACCTAAAAGATAATTTATTTCTCTTTAGTTAGATCAGCTAGTAGATGATAATGCCAAGCATGGTCTCCTTAGCTTCATAGATGCCTATTTTGGTTATAATTAGATCAAAATATTAAAAGAGGATGAGGATAAAATGACTTTTATTACTTAGAAAAACCTTTACTGTTATAAAGTCATACCCTATGGATTGAAGAATGTAAGGGCAACCTATCAAAGATTGGTGAACAAGATCTTAAAAGACCAAATTAATCGCAATATGAAGGTATATGTAGATGACATGCTAATCAAAAGCAAGAGTTTGATCGAGCGTTTGGAGGACCTCAAAAAAACTTTCAACATTTTGAAAAACTATAATATGAGACTTAACCCAAGCAAATAAGCTTTTTGTATTACATCAGACAAGTTCTTCGATTATATGATTAACCAAAAAAGAATAGAAGTGAACCCCGAAAAGGTTCAGGTGATCCTAGAAATGAAGGAGCCAACCTTAGTAAAAAAAATATAGAGGTTAACTAACGAATAGTCGCGTTCAGTCGATTTATGTCCAGATCAACAGAATGATGTCTATCGTTCTTCAAAATTCTTAAAAATGTCTTTGACTTCAGGTGGACTTTTCAATGCCAAACAGCTTTTAATGAAATCAAAGAGTTCTTATCCTCTCTATCTATCCTGTCTAAACTGAAGATTGTCGAAACATTGTACTTATACTTAGCCAACATAAATCAAGCTGTTAGCTTAGTCCTAATTCGAAAAGAAAAAGAAAAATAATGACTGATCTATTTTGTAAGCAAAGTATTGATAGGGCCTAAAGTTAACTACAGTGACAGAAAATTAGGTTACACTATTGTCACCTAAACTAGAAAACTTAGTTCGTACTTTCAAGTTTACACGATCCATGTCCTAACTGATCAACCACTAAGGTAAGTTTTATAAAAACTTGTAATGTTGATAAGGCTAATCAAGTAGGCAGTAGAGCTCAATGAATTTGATCTATACATTTCACCTAGACCGACATTAAAATCACAAGTGCTGGTAGACTTCATTATAAAGTACACTTTGATACAACCAAAAAAATAGTCTAAAAAAAATTATGATAAGGATAATTAGAAGCTTTATGTCAATGGATCAGCTACAAGCTAGAACAAAGGAATCGACCTCATTTTGATCAACCCAGAAGGGCTACAATACCTATACACTTTGAGATTTAAGTTCAGGACATCTAATAATGAAGTAAAATATGGCATTAATAGCAAGCCTAAAGTTAACAACTAAGCTAAATGCTCAACACATAATCACTTATAATGATTCTCAACTAGTGGTTAGTCAAATAAATGGAGAGTTTGGAGCTCAAGAGATGAAATTTAAAAATATCTTGACAAAGCGCTAGTCTTGGTAGCTAGCTTCAAGAAAATTAAGGTAAAAAAGATATCAATGTCAAAAAATTTAATAGTAGACTTCCTGTCTAAGTTGGCTTCAGTAGCAACGATGAAAAGTCTAGATCGAGTTCTAGTAGAAGAACTAGTATATAAAAGCACCGATGATAGGTTCATGGGACAAGTTACAAAGAAAAAAATCTGGATGACACCAAAGCATATCTGACCACGGAAGTGTTACCCAATGAAAGAGTTTGGGCTAGGGTATTAATGAGAAAGGTCCCCTAGTACACAATGATTGAAGAAAAATTATATAAAAAATTTTTCAACCTACTTTACTTAAGATGTGTTGATGAAAAAGAGGTAGAATACATCTTGTGAGAAATTCATGAAGAAATATATGAAAGTCACCTCAAACCTTCAACTTTTGGCTTATAAAGTGCTGAGACAGGGCTATTATTAGCCCCCATCATGAGAGATGTGATCGAACTGGTGAAGAAATGAGACACGTGTCTAAGATTTACCCGTGTGCAATATCTCCAATAATCGAGCTCACTACTATCATCAATCCGTGATCATTCATATAATGAAAAATGGATGTCCTCGAACCATTCACTTTGACTATAGATTAGAAGAGATTCGTTTTAAGTAGTAGTAGATTACTTCACAAAATGGTTGAAAGCTAAAGCTTTAGCCACCACTATGAAAACACAAGTTAAGAAATTCATGTGAAAAAACATAGTTTGTAAATTCAGATTA